ATTGTCGTGCGCGGAAGCGTCGCGCGCGCAACTGTCGTGCGCGGTAGTGTCGGTGCACAAATGTCACGCGCAGAAATATCGTGGAACCTTCAATTCAAATGTTTGAAAAAGACACTAACTTCGAAAATATGTAAAATAAATGAAGGATAGAGACAGAAAACTGTACACAGTTATTATACAGCAATCAGCAATACAATTGGGAACTGTCAAAAGAGCAAATCGGCTTGAGCGCGTAACGCGTAACTTCAAGACCAGAAGTTTGAATTCATCATATACGAAATTCATTGTCACCACCGTGTAGAGCATGGTCTAAAGTGTAGGGAAATATATTTTGCTTCATTAATAACTATGTCAAAGTGTATTTGGTAATTTGTAATAGAGATATTACTCACAGTTATAGAAAATTCTTCTATTTAGACCACTAATGAACCTAACCGATATATCGAAGCAGTTTGAAATCAACAAAGTTGATTAAGGCTGATCAAGACTATGATAGTAGATGTGTCTTTTGACATAACAAATGATTTTGTATGTGTTATACTTTTTTGTAACGAGCTTGTCTAAAACTGCCCACTTTATAACGTCATCGCGTAACGAAAAATGAGTATTGTTTTTTTTCATTTGTCGGTCTTTATTTTTTTTGGCAAAAAATAAATATCTAAAGCTAGTTTTTTTATGAGCTATCTAATACACCTATTTTCCCAGAGAAAGATTCCGTTTTATAATAATTTTACGTAACGCGATGACGTTTTTTGTATTTTTTATATCTATGAAAAAAATATTTCCATATAGTAGTTTCTTAGGCAAAAACCACTATAAACTATATTTAATGTATTCTTTATTAATTACTGACAGATTGCCATAAGAGTATAGCTGATTGATTTAATAAGTTGATTGCGTTCAGTTAGAATGAAATTATCAATCTAAATTATCTATCATTTCTATGATATATGCGTAAGGTGGGAGCACTCAAAATTTCAGTTAACACTTTTTCTCCATGATTTATATATGGTTGGATAGAGCTCAAAAAACTGTGTAAGTAAATGTACTTTTAAAGTCATTTTCCTATTTTATAAGATTTTAAACCCTTAAAAGACCGAGATCATACTGTTACTAGGACGATTTCGTATAAAATGATCTTAGTATTTTGAGGTTTTTAATATTTATAAAATAGGAAAATGAATTGAAAAATACATTTTCTTAGATAGTTTTTTGAGTTCTATCGAACGATATATAAATTATGAAGAAAAAGTGTTAACTGAAATTTTGAGTTTTTCTCATTATATAAATATATGGGTATCTCTATTAGTCAAACTGATTTATTGCTTTTATGATTTCTTATTGTACTAGAGGAATCAATAAACACAACGTCTCACATGTGCACATTCTAAGTGTAAAATAAAAATAGTATCTTGTCTTTATATAGGTGTACACATAATAAAATGAACCATGAAAAAAAATTGTTGCAAAAGTCATCATCATCGCGTTATGAGACCGTCATCGCGTTACGAGACCGTCATCGCGTTACATTAATCAAACTGATTTCTATTCAAAATAAGAAGTCTGTTCGAAGAAGATTTTGCTCTGTTGGATACCTCCAACTGTTGGCTACAAAATATGCATAGAACGTTTCTTTGAATACAGTATACATTCGCAGAGAAATAAAAAACAACTATGTCACTCAACTTTTTGTCCCTTTCTCATCATCGCGTTACGCCATGTATTTTTGCTATAGTCCTCAAACCGCTCGCTCAAGTGAGCTCATACTCTCAGGGATATTGCAGAAGGTAGAGATGCATCTTACAACGAAACAAGAAATCCTCTGAGCAATCTGAATGTTGATAAAAATTAATAAAACTGTGGCCAAAACGTCATCGCATTACGCTTGCTCAAGCCGAAATATTGAGTTTTCCATAAAAACATTTTTCCTTGTTATTATCGTTGGAAATAGATCATAAGTTTAACTATCGATTTCATTGTAAATTATGTCGGTGAAGAAATGAAGCGATGTTGTGTCATTGACATTTTGTGTAACAATCCTATGAAGTTGAAGAGCTGTTAGCTCCATATGTGTAGAACAAAAGAGGGACAAGCAGTGTCACTGATGTTATGTGACAGAACGATGAAAAAGATGACCTTCGTGGGAATCGAACCCACATTTCCTGCTATCCGGGCAGATGTCCTAAGCCAATTAGACTAGAAGGCGCATCTTAATCATCGTTTAGCGTCCAAGTGATTCATCATGGATGCTAACAAGAGCAAAATAAAGGAAGAAATGGATGATTGATTGAAAATATTACAATGAATAACTTTTATTTAACAAAAAAAAACTTACAAAAATAATCGTTGTCAACTTTGTTAACAACTTGACTCAAAAAGAATTCTCGTCTTGTAACAAAATCCGATATCTATGAAGAGAAAATTTCTCTCTCTTATTTTAATAATTTTTCTTCTCTCTATTTTAGACTATCCATTACGTTCTCCATCCAGCACCAACATTCATCTGAATGCTCGATGGCAACAAAATGGTATCACTGTAGCTGGAGGAAATCGACAAGGCAATGGAATCAATCAACTCTCAAACCCATATGGTTTGTATGTTGATGATGATCAAACAATCTATGTTGCTGAATGGTCGAATCATCGTATTGTGGAATGGAAACGAGGTGCAACAAGTGGCCAAGTGGTTGCTGGTGGAAATGGACAAGGAAGTGGAGATCATCAATTGTATAACCCATATGATGTGATTATCGACAAAGAGAGAGATAGTCTCATCATATGCGATTATTCGAATAGAAGAGTGGTTCGATGGCCTCGTCGAAATGGGACAAGTGGAGAAACAATCATCTCCAACATCTCTTGTGTGGGTTTGACAATGGACGAGAATGGATCTCTCTATGTCACTGATGTTGGAAAACATGAAGTGAGACGATATCGAAGAGGAGAATCTCAAGGAACAGTGGTT